AGTGTGAAAAGTGTTTTACAATTTCGGAAGATTCTTACATTACTATAATACTTTGAAGAATATTATATTATAGAGAATTGTTTTATCAATCGATGAATGTATTCGCTTTTCTGTGAAATGAATATTTAATACTTAAAAAATGAATTCTGAATACAACTCATCACAACACTGTGTAAACGCAAAACAACACAAACAACACAACGCACAGCCCAACATTACGCAATATTAAACAACCCATCAAATAATAAAAAAAATGGCCTCCGAGTCACATATCTTGATGAGTGTGAACAATTAACAGCTGCAGCTTTACCTATTTTCTGTGAACGATTACAAAACCCCCCGCATTTGATTACTACTCAATTGTGTTCGCAGAAAAGTTCCATTTGTTAATTTACGACGTCGTGTTTAATAATAGTAGTTTTACATATATCCAAAGTGATATTTATCGTTCAAATTTTATATATAATACACTGTGACCACACATTGTGCACCTTGTCATGAATGACTTGTATATAATACAAATAACTGTTGAGGCACATTGTTGAATTAATCTCACTATATACCTATCCTGGACTTCAAGAGCACACGTGAATAACAATCTTTGGAATCACTAATATTTGTTTAACAGTATTATATATTGTTAGAAATAAGTTTCGTATTTCTGGTCATGTGCAAGAATCAAGGTTTGCGTAAATTGGCGAAGTTGTATTTTTGTATTGTATATTTACATGGTATAAATAATTAAATAAATAAACAAACATATACAAATAAATATTGTTTTCTTTACGTGTTTTGTGCGTTTAAACTGTGAATATTTTTATGTCGTAGCACAGCATTTCAACTTTTTATGACGATGAAAGAGCGTTACTTGTAAGTAGTGCAATGATACATTTTTGTCTTCATTCATTTGACATCCTATAGTTTTAGAGATATGATCAAAATAAAAGACAATACAACAGAAGCACACACACACACATACACACATGACATGGTTCAAATAATAGGACGATGTGTTATGTATGTGACAATTGACTATATGAGTCTGACATTACACTATTAATATAACAATTACACCGCAAACCTTTATTTTTTACTACAGATCTAAAATTTCATTATTTTCAATGTATTTTAATTTTAAATGCGTAATTATTGTAGCTCACATTCTATAGCACAATCAGCGCTTTGAACCAGTGTCTATTTGCTTTGATACACCTCATTGCTGAAAATATGTAACGCGCTGATTGCGGACACGTCAAGCTAAATCACGAAGAACAAGGTAATCTTTCTTGTTATAAAATTAGTTGTAAACTAGCAAAAATAGAAGCACACCACAATTGTGCAATGATACACGAATGATCATTGAATGTCGTTATGCGATAATATATGCAGTATATAGCAACTACGTGATACCTAACATATGTACACGATTTAGTGTAACGCTTACCCGTATAAGTATGTTGAGTCTGTCAGAGCAATATAAAAGCCACAATTAATTACGAATCCACTTCATTACAAGAAAAATACCGGAAGACAGGAGATGGCAAACCAGCTGATACAAAATCACAGGAGATACGCCATTGTGCCTAAGGAAAGCTTTCATGCATGACATATAGTTAAATTGCATGGGAAATTGCGAGTGATCACTGTATTAGAATGTAAGATAGTCACTGACAGCCACAAGCGCTATATTTTACTTTTTAATATCATATCATATTATAGCAATTACAGCTGCATCATATTTTAGTATATTAGCATCAATCTTGAGAAGCCGTGAGGTAAAGTGGTAGCGTATGTTGATATTTACTAGTTTGATTAATTTGATGATGATGAAGATGATGATGATGATGATAATGATGATGATGATGATGATGATGATGATGATGATCTTGGAGCCTAGTGAACAATAGACATGTTGGAACCTCGATTTTTTGATTAGTTTCTCTTCTACTTAAAATGCAAAACATTTTTTTCTCGAATTTTGTAAAAGGGTGCGTCTCTGTTCAACTGCTCATTGTCAGAAGCAAAAGTTGATTTCTATAATAAACTATTAATAATTTAAATAAAATTCAGTACGTAGTTTTGATCGTATCGAACTAAGGAGAGGATCCACTGGCAGCGCAGAAGGTTTTGGCCAACTCATTTCCCCCAATCCACCTTTTCTTACGCAAAGCAAGTAGATCAACTTCGTGACGCCGGAAATAACAAAGACAATGACCGGCGTATCATGCAAAAGGTTGCCAACATAAATAAATTGACATGAATTTATTATAATACGGATTGAATGAATAACGTGAAAGTTTGGGTAAACGCATAGTAAATATGTTTTAATAATAGTTTCGGAATATATTTTCGTGAGACAGTAAAGAAAGAAATAAGCGGGA